AAAGGGAATGAGAAGACTTTAGAAGGAACCATAAGCCCAATCCTAAACAAGAAACAAGGGATAAATCTGTAATTATTAAAAGACAAGTTATTTGATCTATATACATGTGAGATATCAAAGGTAGATTTGTTATATTGTTAAAATAAATATAAACAACAGATATGAAAATGTTGATTTTGGTTTGGTTTATTTTGTTTTACAGCATATCAGCTTCAATGGGTTATTTAACACTGACAAGATTTTTAGGAAAGGTTCATTTGAATAGAATATGTATTTTTTGTAAGTCAGTTTGTAGATCAGGTTTCATTGGTGTATTTTTATAAAGAGGGTTTTTTATTGAGTCAAATGTATTGCTGGTAATATTTTTTTTCAAAAATGTATTGCTGGTATTTTCACTATAAAAATCTAGTGTTTTGATCTCAGTTTGCAGGGTTAACTATTTGCCCAAAGCTGGGACCCTAACAGGTGCTACTACACTTTGTCAGGGTGGATCTGGGAACAAAAGCAATTAAGAGGTGGTTGCACACTCCTCAAAGCCTTCAATCTCCTGATCAGAGGCCTTGCTTTTTGGGGTAGTTTATCGTCAATTATCTTGCGAAGTAGAGTTCATTGAATTATATTTATTTGAAGTTGAACACATTGTGGTGAAAGAGTTGAGGGGATCAGCTTCACAGGGGTAGTTCTAAGATTCAGAGGATGAAAAAGGAAGGCTGCTGTTGGTGGTGGTGTCAAGTTGTTTGTAGAAATTGGATGAATGAGTTCAGTGTGGACATTCTCTGTTTGTTGAAAGTGGATAACATGGGGAAATGTAAGCTGGAGAGATTCGGTCACACTTTTGAGAAGTTTGGATATCATGGCAGACATTAAAAGATGTGTTGAATTATGAGGAAATGCTCAACTGAGACTGTATAACTACAATTCTATCTCTATTAAAATAGAGTAGAGATTTGATTACCTAGATGGGTGATCATTTGTGAATACGAGGTGCTGTAAGCTTGTATGTTTGGGTGGTGTAATGAATAATGGCTCGGAATTGGAAATATCATTGGGAAAGGTATGAATGCATCACTTCTCTCCCCCCCAGCTGTGGGTTAATTAGTAGGACTTGTATCAGCAAATAATCATTTTCTCCCCAAAATTCTTACAATTTTTAAAAAAAAAATTTTTCTGATTTTAAATAACCTACAAAAGGTTGATAAGTTGTAAAAAAAGAAATCAATCAATCAAACCAACTTGTGTTTATTTTGCTGATACTTGTTTCAAATAGATGGAGTGGTTGGAATAAAAGAAGTGGCATAACGCCCCACTTCCATTACAATTTTTTTTTTTTAATAATTTTAAGTAATGAAATGCTCATAATCTAAATTAAGGGCTGGGAGAAATTTTCTTGAATATTTAATAAAAGGGGTTGTTGGAATAAGGAAGTCCTAGGTGGATTATTGTCCCTGCTTATTTATTTGAAAATCAAAGGTATGAATAGGTTTAAAATTAATATTTTCTTTTCTTATCTTTCCTTTTCTAAAAAAAAAAGAAATGCTTTTGGTTGACAATTGTTTTTATATTATTAGTATTATTATAGATAATTCTGTGTGATTTTGCTGAAGGTCTATGTGAAACATAAGCCTAATATGAGGATGAGGTCAAGAAGGTAAGAATGCTGAAATCAATGCAGACAAAAGCCAGGATCAGAAAGTGCATCCATGTTTATTGATCAAGGAGACTCTTTCTTAGGATTGATTGATTGGAAGAGAGAAGCGTCGACAAGCAAGATACAAAGCAGACCAGTAAATAAATGGGAGCTTTTTTTGTATATAAAATGTAAAACTGAATAATAGGAAATAGCCATAATTTTTGAAGACTCAAGATTTCATATAGGATACCTTAAACACAAATGATTAGAATGAGCCATTAACAAATATCACCTGCTTCTCACCTACTATTGACATAATTTCTTAATCCTGTTACTGTTTCCAATATGTCATTGACAGTGTTTAATTGTATCATAAAGATATCTTAGTGATTAATTGCTATTATTATGATCCAATTTCTCTATTTTTGTTTTTTACAGTAATACAGACAAAAATGTGGTGGTGTGAGACACATTTGTGAGCAATTTTGTCTGTTCAAAATAATTTTAGGTTGAAAACTGCTAAATTTCATTCTTAATTGTTAAATTTCATTATTTTCTTTTTCCTTCTGCCACCAAAATATCCGATCTGAGGGTTATGTAACAGTTATTGGTGCAGAATATGGAATTGGCAAGCAGAGTACAAATTCAGTTCTAGTCTATTGCATTCTCTTTTGCACTAATGCCCTTGGGAAAGGGATCAATTCATCTCATCTCAGCTATGAGTTCAATGGAAGAGTTGACTGGGCTCTCTAGCCATGGGTGGCCACTAGTTTGTAAGCAAGAAAAAACTGTAGAGAAGTTAATGGGGAACCACTCCTCTACTTTTTCCAAGAATGCATGGTAATTCACAGATAAAGAAAAGGAAGCTGTAGAGAGTCATAATAGTCTAAACTCTGAAAGGATATGGCATTAAAAAAAAATGCTGTTTGATATTTTTTTTAAATTATTTTTTTCTTCAAAAAAGGATTACAGCTAAGTGGAGTAGTGATAATGCCATTTGGCAACAGCAAAGTTAAGAACCTTGGTTATATACACTGCTAGTGTTAAAATATAACTCATTTCAATTTCTTCACCTCTCTCAGACTAATGTCAGTATTTTTGTGTCATTGTATAAATAATAAAATGAATATATCTTTGAATATTTTCATAAATCCTACCAAAGATTATTTAAACTTAGTTTAAGAAGAAACAAGACATCATTTAGTTTTATCATGTTTTATGCATTTAAATGTTTATTCCTGATGCAAAGTACTGTTTAAAACATAAATATTACAAAATACCTCTTCTGCTTGCTGTTCTTTTTAATTCTTGCATTTTTCTATGTTCTGATAAAGTTTTTAATAGCTAACTACTGTTACAGTATAAGCTCTTGAAAATTTACTTTTATTATTATTTGAATGGCATACATTTCAGTCCTAATAGATATGCTGGTGGTAAGATAATGACAAAAATATTGTTTGCGTTGAGTGTTGGTATTATGCACACTTGTTGATTGATAATTATAAATTATTCAATTACAGTTTTTCACTGAAGGGTTACAAACAATAATTATTACTATCAAAGATAGATCCAGTAACAGAAAAGTAGATCTTGCCTACAATTATTTTTTTTTTTAAACCATCCTCTGTGCCTAATAAGGAAAATTATAAAAATATTTTTTCAACTTAGTTTATAAAGAATTAATTATAAAGATAATAATTCCCTTTTGTGGTCTCTGCTCAGTGTTAAGTCCTTTCATATTTATAGTTATTTGCAAATGCTAATTCTCTCTAAAGGTATAATAACAATAATAACAATGCAATTGGTATGTCACTATGGCTGATAATGAGTACAGAAAAATTCAGGCTTATTTTTGTTTTATTTTAAGAAAAGGTAGGTAACTTTGGAATTAGCAGTTAATAAACTTGGAGTTGTCTTCCTTGGATAGTGCTATTACTTTATACTTAAAAATTACTTGGATACTGATTATATTTGAATATTTTTTTTATTTTTAAAGTCCACATAATAGTATTTATTTTTTTTGTTGCTACTATCAATCCAAATGAATGAAATCTCAGTTGAAATGAAACTTTTGCTTGAGCAGAAGAGAGAAATGTATAAGTTAGTTAGCAGTGGGAAATTAATAGAAATAGAAAGTTTTTTCCTTAAAATTACGTCTTATTGTAATTTTTATAGTTCTAATTTCTGAAAGCAATAAAATACTTTCATGTTTGTTTGTATATAAGTACAGGATGTCTCAAAAAAATTGACATCATTTTAAAAGCAATTATCTTGAAAACTACTAAGTTTAGCTCAATGAAATTGAACAGTTTAAGTGTTGAACATTATAAGTTTATTATGGGACCAATTTGTGCATTGCCTGTGACACGGCACATGTCAAATTGGTAGTTAAGCTCTTGCCAAACACACTGTAGCATGTCTCCGGTAACATTATCCTGTGGAGAAGTGATTCTCTGCTTGAGTTCATCAATTCTAGCAGGAAGACGGACATAGACTAGTTACTTCACATATCCTTATAAAAAGAAATCACACGGGAACATGTCTGGTGACTGCTGTGGTTATTTCATCTGAAAACTGTCTTCATCTCCACCATGCTCGTTCTATCTCTCTGGCAGATATTCATTGAGATACCAAAAATAAAACATTAAATATAAAATCTTGATCTGGTTCTATACATTCTGTGAAAATTTAAGGTTATTTGAACAAGAATTGCCAAAATTATTGGCTTGAGAAATGGTGTCAAATTTTTTGGGACACCATGTACATTGATTTAATTGCATTCATTTCTGTTTATACTTATGACTGAATATATAAATGATGCCATATATCTTACCACTTGTTGAAACACCAGTTCTTGTATGATCACCAAAGTTTGGATGTGTGGGTGCTGTGATGGGCAATCGATTGAATTGGGAATTGGAGAGCCAAATTCCATTTTCAGTTAGATTTGTTATATTCACTTATGCACAAATACTCTTGGGAAAGAGATGAATCCATTGCTTCTCCCTCTAGCTATGGGTGAATTAGTAGAACTGGTATTAGTTAAAATCATCATTATCTCCAAAAAGTTTTTTCAATCTAAAAATATTTCTGGCTTTAAATAACCTGCAAAAGGTTTATATGCCATAAAAACAAAAAAAAAAAACATGTGGGCAAATTTTATTTTTGTCTGCTTTAGTATTTAACTATATATATATATATATATATATATATAATGTTTGCGCAGTACTTATTTGAAAGCACTCAATATCAGTGATAGAGCTAACATACTTAGTTGTATTGAAGTGAGTTTGTGACTCTGGGTTTATATATATATATATATATATATATAAAATAATTTTTTATTTTTTTTTTTTTTTTTTTTTTCCAGCCTCTCTTCAAGATGACATCGCAGCAACAAAACATTCATAGCATTAATCATAGCCAATATGTTGGCTTACAAGAAACATACAAGAAAAGATATGTAAGTATTATCAACTGTAAATAATTTGAATTTGTCATGTAGTCTCTTCTTTATTTTTGCCAATTGCAATAATTTTCTTTTGCTGTTAAATTACTTCTATTTAAATCTCAGTAAAACTTAAAGTGGACCCACAGATTTGAATGATGATACATTTGTTTTCAATGCATAATGCTCAAAGAAACTGTTTGATTACATTACCATGAGAAAATTGAAAAAAATTAATGGCCAATTTAAATTTCAAGTTTTAAAACATCTACAAATTGAATATATCTTGACTATATTCAAATTGGGATTTCATGTCTTGTCTGGTAGTGTTCATGTGTATAATTTTTGTGTGTTTGTGTATCCTAATTTTAATTGGTCTGTGCAGGATACACAAGAATTATACACATGAATGCTACTAGACAAGACTAATCTTTAAATAAAAGTGAAACGTGTTAAATTTATAAATGTTCTCCTATTTGTTCATTGTCCTGTCATGAATACAATTGATATTATTTGTAATGTGCATCATTTTGCATATTTGTCTGGGTACAATGAAGTTTCTGTGATATTTAATTACATTTTATTCAACTCCTGACTTTGTCAGTCACGTGTTTGGGTATAGACCCAGACTCCTTATCTGAAATGTGGACCTTACATTTTCATCTGCCATATCTGAAAGACACTCTGTAGGTAGGTGTTTATATATTTATCATTGTCATGTAACTCATTCCCACACTTGCAACCCAGGTGTACTTGAATTTGCACATGGCATCTGGGAAGACACCACAGGTTAACCCTGCACCTGGTTTCTTTAATGATCTGGTGTGACATTTAGTGAAAAGTCTATTTTGGAATAATCTGGAATGAGATTCATGCTATTTAGGTATTTGTATGAAATATGAAAAATTATCACTTTTTATTATTTGGGGTGGGGGAATTATAGAAACTAGTTGAAGTCCCTGTTTACACAGAATAAGAGATAAAGATTTAGATCAGAACTGATTATAAGGACACTAAAATGATTCTTTACTCTTGAGAAGCAATCCAACATAATTTTTTCTATCAAGGTGAAACAAATGTATAACTAAAATGTTTTTTTACAATCTTTGTTAATGAAAATTTTATTATTTGTCAAGGGTCATTTTTATTTATCTTAGTAGCTTAAATGAAAAAAAACCAAGATTCCATTTGTTTTTGGTAAGTCTCTGTATAGACATGAACAATAAAAGGGAAATTATAGTCTTACATCAAATGGTAACAAAGAGTAATTGTTACTATGAAAGATAAATCCAATAACAGAAAAGTAGGCAATAACTTTACCCATTTAATATTTAGTTAAAATGTTTCTCTGGGTCCAGTAAAAGTGTATACTAAATTTGAGATTTCAAATATGAAAGTGTTTGATCACGTATAGAAACCTAATCTTTTCTCACGTTCATAATTTGCAAGTTAAAATTTGGAATTTATTCTATATGATATTGTTTCTTGTGAAAGTTGAAATAGAAAGATTGGCTATAGCGATATTAATCTGTTCAACAGAATGCTTTGGGATTTGTGACAAGTTATAACAAAGAAGACATCTCAATTGTGACTGTCAATGGTGAGTCCACTTCTGTCTGGGGCATCAGTCCACCCAGCCAGAAAAAATTATTATCTGAATTAATGGAAAGCAACTCTTTCAACATGGAATTACACATCTCATTTACAAGGTAAATTTTTAATGTTATTTTTCTTTTTTGTCACTACTTTTATATTTGCTGTCAAATACAGGGTATAATGGATAAATTGTTGTTTAAAGTACATGAAAATGAAAATAACATTGACATCTCATTTTAACAGATATATTTACCAAAATTACACAAAAATATCTTGAAATACTAAAGAATAAATTTATTCAGTAAAATCGGCATTGCCTTCATCCACAGCCTCTAGATGACTTTGGAATCTGCAATTTTTCTGGATGGTCTCCTTGTTTTTGGTAAATGCTACCATAATCCTTGCTTTTAGTTCATCTTTGGTGTTACAAGGAGTTTTGTTGGTCTCTCGCTCAACTGTGCCCGACACATAATAATCAAGGAGCTTGAAGTCTGAGGAGTTAGGTGGGTCATATGTAAAGGGGTGATGTGGTTGCAGAAATTTTCTGACAGCCATGACTGGGTTCTCCTGCTTGTGTGGCATAGTGCAGAGTCCAGTTGCTAGACATAGGGTTTACCAGCAGCCACCCTCTTGACTCAAGGCACTTAATGTAGGCCTTCATGTAGGCCTTCATGTTGAGTCTGAAGCCCTGTGGGGGAAAATGAATGGAGGCATAATATTGTCATAACTAATGATTACTCCAAGCACCTTTGTAATCACAATTAGACTCGTTTAACTCTTTCCAAATTCTCTTAACTGTTGTGAATGCCAAGCAGTACTGCATGCCATTTCCAAATTTTTGGTGGAGTGAATTGTGTCACAGTGCTTTTTTTCCCTTTGACAGATGGTATCCAATTGACCCTACTATACTGTTCAATCGACAAAATAAAAAACATGCATGTGTGAAATCAAAAATTTAAAATGGCGACAATTTACCCATCGCACTCTGTATACTCTTATCGTAATTTGGTGTTTGTTGCTATTTTTTTTCTGTTTCAATTCTTTTCTAGTTCACTTCTTTATTTTGATTGTTTTTTAGTTTGACTTTTTTTATTTTTATTTTTTGTTTCTTTCATTTTGTTTCTGTTTTTTTTGTTTTTATTTTTTATAAATCTTTATTTCTCCTTACAATTTTTTATTCTTTCCTCCTTTAAATTATTGGAAATTATTTCTCTAATCCACAATTTTGCCAGGGGTTACAAAAATATTGAATTTTATGTATATTATATATTTTTCTTTTTTTTTTTTTAAATAACCATGATAAATATCTAAATTTCTCAATACTTTATATACATTATTTTTAAATTGTATGTATTTTTTCTTTTTACTCAAAAGAAAATGTCTGTTTAGAAATAATTCTGTATAACATTCTAGATACTGGTACATAGAAAACTAAGTTTTTTTTCTATTCACAGTCTTGTTCTCTGATATTTTGTTTCCATAGCTTTTAATCTTTCAAACTTGTTCCCAGGTCATTATATTCACTTATGCACAAATACCCTTGAGAAAGGTATGAATCCATTTCTTCCTCCTCCAGCTATGGGTTGAATTGCAGGACAGACTGGGTTCTTTAGCCTTGGTTGGTTACCAGTCTACTGCAGAAAGAAATGGCTACCTACTGCGGGAAAAATCTTCTGCTTTTTCGGTCATCTATCAAAAGATGCATGATCGCCCAAGCCTGTATCACATATGACACTTGACTGACTGACTTGTTTCTCTCAGATTTGTTAGAGAACTCACTATATTTTCTCTTTTCTGCTATGCTCCTGTCTTCTGACGTGCTGTATTAGTAACTTATTAAATATCTCTCTACTCAGTTGGTTCATTAGAAAGAATAGATCTCCCTATCTGAATGTTTTCAAAAAGTAACTGCTACAATAGTTCTGACAAAACATATCTTTATTGGTGCAGTTCTAAGTATGTGGTTGGAATGAAAATTCTCATGCTTTTGATATAAATTTAATTTAATACAAACTGAGAACTTTTCCTTCCAACCAGATAAAATCATTCAATAAAACATTTTATTCTATCTCTATTTATAAATAAAAAAACAAACAAATAAAACAGCCTTTTTTCCTATATCTTTATTCACATTCTCTCTTTTAAAGGTTAGCCTACTTAAGTATTTAATAATTTTGACAAATTGACTCTGGGCAGTATGTCATCTCACTGACTTTAGACTGTTTTCACATTTTCCTTAGTTTATCATTCAACTTTATTGATCAATTAATTTTCATATTGAGAAACAAATTTAATTATGTCCTTTAGACCCTATATAATAATCATGGAATTAAATCAATATCATGAGAAAGTTTCAAGCACTTGAGATTTTACTATCCAAATTCAACTTATTTTGTTTAAATTATGCTGAAATTTTTTCTCCTATTCTTTTTTTTTCCTGTTTTTTCTCCTTTTTTTTCCTGTTTTTCTCCTTTTTTTCCTGTTTCCCTTTTTTTTTTTTTTTTTTTTTCCCCTGTTTTTTCTCTTTTTTTTTTTTTTTTTTTTGTTTCTTTCTCTTTTTTTTTTCCCTGTTTCTTTCTCTTTTTTTTTTCCTGTTTCTTTTTCCTTTTCTTTTTTTTCCGGTTTCTTTCTCTTTTTTTCCCCTGTTTGTTTCTCCTTTTTCTTTCCTGTTTGTTTCTCCTTTTTCTTTCCTGTTTTTTTCTCCTTTTTCTTTCCTGTTTTTTTCCTTTCCTTTTTTTCTTTCTGTTTTTTCCTTTTTTTTTTTCTCCTTTTTTCTTTCCTTTTTTTTTTCTCCTTTTTCCTGTTTTTTTCCTGTTTCCTGTTTTTTCCTTTTTCTTTCCTGTTTTTTCTCCTTTTTCTTTCCTGTTTTTTTTCCTGTTTTTTTCTCCTTTTTCTTTTGTTTTTTTTTCTCCTTTTTCTTTCCTGTTTTTTTTTTTTCCTTTTTTTCCTGTTTTTTTCTCCTTTTTCTTTCCTGTTTTTTTTTTCTTTTTTCTTTCCTGTTTTTTTTTTTTCTTCCTGTTTTTTTCTTTTCTTTCCTGTTTTTTTTCTCCTTTTTTTTCCTGTTTTTTTTTTTTTTTTCTGTTTTTTTTTCTTTTTTTTTTTTCTTTCCTGTTTTTTTTTCCTTTTTTTTTTCCTGTTTTTCTTTCCTGTTTTTTTCTCCTTTTTTCTTTCCTTTTTTTTTTCTCCTTTTTCTTTCCTGTTTTTTTTTTTCCTTTTTTCTGTTTCCTGTTTTTTCTCCTTTTTCTTTCCTGTTTTTTTTTCTCCTTTTCTTTCCTGTTTTTTTTCTCCTTTTTTTCCTGTTTTTTTTCCTTTTTTCTTTCCTGTTTTTTTTTTTTTTTTCCTGTTTTTTTCTCCTTTTTCTTTCCTGTTTTTTTTTTCCTTTTTCCTTTTTTTTTTTTTTTCTTTCCTGTTTTTTTTTCTTTTTCTTTCCTGTTTTTTTTTTCTCCTTTTTTTTCCTGTTTTTTTTTCCTTTTTTTTCCTGTTTTTTTTTTCCTTCCTTTTTTCCTGTTTTTTTTTTCCTGTTTTTTTTCTCTTTTTTCTTTCCTGTTTTTTTTTTTTTTCTTTCCTGTTTTTTTCTTTTTCTTTCCTGTTTTTTTTTCTTTTTTTTCCTGTTTTTTCCTTTTTTTTTTTTTCCTGTTTTTTTCTTTTTTCTTTCCTGTTTTTTTTCTCCTTTTCTTTCCTGTTTTTTTTTTTCTTTCCTGTTTTTTTTTTTTCTTTCCTTTTTTTTCTCCTCCTGTTTTTTTTTCCTTTCCTGTTTTTTTCTCCTTTTTCTTTCCTGTTTTTTTTCTCCTTTTTCTTTCCTTTTTTCTTTTTTCCTGTTTTTTTTTCTCCTTTTCTTTCCTGTTTTTTTCTCCTTTTTCTTTTTTTTTCTTTCCTGTTTTTTTTTTCTTTCCTGTTTTTTTTTTCCTTTTTTTCTTTCCTGTTTTTTCTCCTTTTCTTTCCTGTTTTTTTCTCCTTTTTTCTTTCCCTGTTTTTTTTTTTTCTTTCCTGTTTTTTCTCCTTTTTTCTTTCCTGTTTTTTTTCTCCTTTTCTTTTTTTTTTCCTTTTTTTTTTCCTGTTTTTTTTTCCTTTTTTCTTTCCTGTTTTTTTTTTTTTCCTTTTTTTTTTCCTTTCCTGTTTTTTTTTCCTTTTCTTTCCTGTTTTTTTTCTCCTTTTTCTTTCCTGTTTTTTTTCTCCTTTTTCTTTCCTGTTTTTTTTCTCCTTTTTCTTTCCTGTTTTTTTTCTCCTTTTTCTTTCCTGTTTTTTTTCTCCTTTTTCTTTCCTGTTTTTTTTCTCCTTTTTCTTTCCTGTTTTTTTTCTCCTTTTTCTTTCCTGTTTTTTTTCTCCTTTTTCTTTCCTGTTTTTTTTCTCCTTTTTCTTCTTTTTTCAAAGCAGTTCAAATGCCAGTGAACTTGATGTTACCTCTTTATCTTTTACAGAAACAAATCCTCTTCGCAGTCATCAGAGATTGTCAGTAATCAATTCCATACAGTATTGAACAATGCAACTACCAAACACTTAGCAGCTCTTATAAGTGGCAACACGACGGAGAGTGTGTAAGTATAAAGTCTGATATCATGGATCTTTGTGCAACTGGCAAGGAGTTAGAAAAATATGATTTGGATAATGTCTTGAATCGTTTCTTTTCATACAAAGAAAAACAGTTTGGATTGTAGTCACACTTCACATAAAAATATTGTAAAAGTTCATTATAAGATTTCATAAATTCTAAAACCTTTGTTTCATGTTGCAGGGAAAAGCTTTTTGTTTAAAATTCTTGATAATGATATAGGTTTATTTTATTAGGAATGACTTACTTTTTTATTGCTTCTAAATAAATCTTTTTGCAATATGTATCAATATATAGTGAAAAGCTAATTTAAATACATTTTTCATGTAATTTTGTTTTTTTATGGTTATTTTGGAAGCACAGGTATGATAGTGGGTTAAATGACCAAGGTAAAGAAATTAAGATTTAAAAAAAAAAATATTTCTGTTCTTGAGAGAAAAGATAAATTAAAACTTGCAAGTTTTTTTTTTTTTTTGTGTGTGTGTGGTGAATATACTGGTTTGCCTGCCCTATATTTACAATATGTGGAGAATGGTTAGCAATCCTGGAGGAGGAAATTGATCCTATAGAATGGTGAAAGAACTCTTCTATGAGTCATCAGCCAGCTAACTAGTGACAGTGCTGCAATAGATTCACTGTGGAGATGGCAATGGGAAATCTCTATCATTCTTAAGTACATTTAAATTATATATATATATATATACTCTAAGTTCAGTTCCAAAAGTTATTTAGAGGTAATCATGTCTGGAGAGTTCTACTGAGAGATGGAAATTGTTGTGAGTTTAAGCAGCTGTTGGCTAAATCTATGCATAGAACTGAACTGACAGTATGTCGAGGGCAGTGATGACAACCCTGATATCCTAGTCCCAAAATTCTCAAATTATGCTGACTTCCTCATACTTAAGAAATGAAAGCAGTAGTAAAATCTGACTGAACTCATCGCACACAGCAGTGAATCAGATAGATATGCCAACAAAAATCTGTAACTGGCTAATAACATTGACCCAGTCACTGATTATCACCCTTCCCCATGAAAGTCAAACTACCACAGTGTCAAGCTCACAGGACTATCAGTTTGATTAGTCACAAGTAAAAAGGTGTTGAAAATAATTCTAAATAGACTGATGCCCCAAGTAGGAGAAATAATTGCTGAAGAACGAGCTGGGGCTGGGCATGAAATAAGCACCACAGAGCAGATGTTCACTCTCAGTTCCATGTAAAAAATACGCATAACACTACATCTAAACAACTCTACCACATCTTTATACACTTCCCAAAAACCTTTGATAGTGTGTGGCATGGGGCATTGCTGGCAAAATTGAATAAATATAAAATGGGTAAAATGTTGTTCTGTTCAACAATTGTATGATAAGGCAAGCAGTGAAGCACTGTTCCAGCACTCATTAGGAAAGCACCTACACACATTATTTTGTGTACACCAGAGATGTCGCCTGTCTCTTGCACGCTTAACATTTTCCTTGAACATATCATGTGTGATGTCCGTATGGAATACCAGGACACAACATTGGAGTCCCAACAACACAAAAATTTGCTTTACAGACAACATAAATGGTGTATCTGACAAAGAACATGTCAGTCTGTTGAAGAAACTGAATGAAATGAAGAACAGTTATGACATTGGAGATTAATGCTGAGAGAGAGAGGAAAAAAAAAATCAATCATGATGAACAGTGAGAAAGGGTTTTCAAGCCAGGTAAAATTTACTGGTCAAGAATTGAAAGTAGTATCTTGGCTTATTTATCAGCAAAGAGGGCCCCAGAAGGGCAATAATTTCAAGAGCAGCACAAGCAGCTGACAGCTGTTGTAAAACAATTTGGAAAGACAAGAACATTTGTATGAAATCAAGGATTAGACTGTGTGCATTGGCCATCTCAATCTTTCTGTACACCTGTGAATCTTGGATATTAACAGAAGGATCTAAACTTTAGAAATGGAATACTATGGAACCATTCTAGACATCCTATGTAGATTGCATCACAAATGATACAAAACATAATGCTTTGTTGGAAGATAAAGTTGAAATGATATTAACATAACCAATAATATTTCCACTGCCAGCCTACAAGGTACCACCTCAGGCAAAAGAAGAGGCAGACACAGGAAAAGATTGGCTTACAATATTGAGTAGACGATCATTTACAGAAACTCGGACATTAGCACACAACTAAGATATGGAGAAAGTTGGTCAGGTACACAGCCGTGCAGTGATGCTATGACAATACCTGGTCATTGGATTAGTGATGAGGACTACATAGAGAAAATGAATATTAATGAACCTCATCAACTTGTAATCAGGTATTTTTCTGTTGTTGATGGCTGTCATCATTTGTTGAATTATGGTTTGATATTTATTATATGTCCTCATCTTTATTGCCATATTCATGACACTTCACCTGTTGTACACTTTGACCTTTTTCAGGTGATATAAGTTGGAATTTTGAACTGAACCTTTTTAGTCCTTGTGGATAAAAGTGTTGGTTGAGTAATCCCAAAAATTGACTTTACCCAAAGAGTCATTGTGTGTTCAAGTTTTTGTTCTCTCTGCCAGGTGGCCACAGCAGAGGTGAACAAATACTTGGAGAGTTGAGTTACTAAAGGGAATTAACTGATATTGAGATATCCAAAATAAAGGTATGGCATGTGAAATTAGAATAATCAACCCTTATGGAATAAATAAAGGGTTCAGTTTGAAATTCCAATGTATATCACCTAAAGATGGTCAGAGCATGCAACAGCCAAAATGTTGTGAATATGGCAATAAAGATGAGGACAACAGTCTGAATGATGTAAATAGTTACAATACCTCATCTTAGAAATATAGACAGAGGTTCCATATTTACCTTAGCTTTTTGGAATTTTGTCTCACTTTCCATTCACTTCTTTTCACTGTGAATCTAAAATGATGCTGCAATGTTTGAGGGTTTGTGTTTTGTGGAGGGTTGATTAAGGATATCGAAGGAAAGAAGCAACTAATCAATGAGCAGTTCTTTAAATTGTATTTTTTTTTTATTTTCTCAAAGAAAAAAAATTGAATGACCCTGTCTGATAGGATTGGTCTTGCCAATAAACCAGTAATCAAGCTTTCAATAAGACCAATGCATATCATTCTTTCTGTTTTGTCTCTCTCTCTCTCATACTGTGGCATAATTTACAAGTTGAACTATTCCAGTTCAATGTGAATAGAGTTTACTCACATGATGTAATTTGATTTATTGATTATTTGAAACTGGAACCAAGAATGGATCTTGGGTATTCATACCCATCAGTCCTCTGTTTTGCCACTAAGTTACATCTTTGTTTTGAATTTTTACATGTGATTTTTAAACTTTTCTTTTTTTTCTTAAATAAAATTCTGAAGCTTTTGTGCCATATTGTGAAAAGGCTTTTTTACTGATCATTTTTAACATTTTTAGCATTTTTTTTAATGTTCATTTTGAACCATTTGATATTCAGTATTGTAAGCATTTTTACTCTGCATTTTATTAGTGAATTAGACTCTTTTAATTTGTCAGTGAGTTTTCATTAATATTGCTTTCTTTTTTCTAAATAAAGTTCAAGCCCATTTGACAGTGTGTTGAACTAAGTAACCTTATGTTGATGCTGGAGGATATTCATGATGTAATTCATTATTTGTCTCTGTAGTTAATATATACATAAGTTTAGATACAGTAACATGATGGGATGGGACAGATATTTGTTTGAATGCTCTCTTTATAATTAATCAGAAATTATGAAAAATTTGGAAGTAATATTTGATTTTCGTGCTACAAGATGAAAGTGGCATTTTGTTTTTTTTATTAGTGTGTAGTACTTGAAAACTACTGCATATGGTATTTTGCATAAAGATAGAAATATTTGAGTATTTTGCTGTTTGAAATCATGCACGATTTAAAAGAAAATTAAAAATTGCTGCTGTTACAGAGTTTATAGGCTAGACAAAAATTCTGAACTCTGACAGTGATAGATTAACTTTTAAGTTTTCATATAAAACTGAAAATCATTCAAAAACAGCACATTTATGACAGTAGAGAAGTCAAGAACTCTGATGTTTTGCTCTCCCAAATGCCTTTGTATGCTGTGGCTTCAGTATAGAGACAAGCCACGAAATGATAGGTAATTGTTCAATCTGTTGACAGCCATTCTATTTTCCTTACACTTCCTTCATAAATGATGCCTATTATTATATCTCCTTTCACCCCTGTAAGAAAAGGAGTAAAACAAAAACAAAAAAAAAAAACTGAAGAAAATTTGTCTGTCATTGATTTAGTCTGGGATACTGTTTTGGGGTCCCTACTGAAAAATAGCTGATAGACCATTAGAATCCTGAAATGACACTCCCACATTGTAAGACTACATTTTTCCTCTTGATAATTGTATGCAACAGTACGGGGACTTTTAGGCTATACTACAGGGCGCCCAGTAAAAAAGCGGTAAATTCAGAAAGAAATTTATATAGCTGTCATGATACATGCACAAACTGAACAATTATCATAGATGTTTTGAAATGTTTGCCTGAATGTTCAAGATAAAGTTCTAAGTGTGGTAAGTAGCTTTGCAGATAGTGTCAAGAGGAATTTCATTCCAAGCTTCAGTTAAGTTCCACTTCAATGAATCAATATCGACAATGTCACAACAATGGTTTTACAAGTGAGTTAGGACTATAGCCTACATACAGTAATCCATAACATTCAGATCTGGGCTTTTAGAGGGCCACTGAGATGGACCAATTAAAGCTGGTGTATTTTCTCGAAGAATAAATTTGTCACTTTTTTTACTGGCACCCTGTATAAAGTTTCTTTTGAATTTTATAATAATTACAATCTGTGATAGCAAAACTATCCAGTAAAAGATAATTAATATTTTAATGAGGACTTTTATGTCATGGGATAAAATTATGTAATTTCTATCTACAGAACTGAAGAAGTTAATTCTTATTTCCTTGTAGTTTCAGCCATTTTTTATTTCCATATCCTTAAGGAATGGAGTTGTTAAATTAATGCCTATCCTATCTGAAATGCTGGAGAGTGAATAATGTATATAAAATAAAAAGATCCTTGATTTAATAGTCCAAGCAAACATGGCCTTTAAAATCTGTTGGAATGTTTTCTCATTTTATTCAAAGTTTGACTAGCCTATGGGAACATTTTATCTTTGTTACTTACAAAAAATAACTTCAAGCTAGTTAAACATTTCAATATTTTTATTAACATTATAACTATTTCTAACAATCTTTCTAGACAAAATAAATTTAATATGTATAAAGTGATGTAGTTTTATGATAATGAAATATATATTTCAGGTATCAGTTAAAAACATACATTACAAAAAGTTATTCTAAAAAGTTTACATCTGTATAGTAATATTAATATTTAATATGAGAATCCCATTGTTACTTTGTAGGATTTTCATAGTAAGAAAATTGTGCAAAATTATAAGATATTAAATATGAGAAGTCACTTTTGGTTTGTTTTGAGAGGAAAGATATTTTTTTTTTTTTTTTTTTTTTGGGTTAATCCTTTTAAAAATACTTATTTATTCTAATATATCTTTTATTTTTATTTTTTCCTTCATTACTATCAGCATCACATTCAATATCATTTTGATATGTTATTTTTTGGGGGCTGTGGTGGGGAAAATTATATTTTCCAAAATGTTCAGTTTGGAGGAAACCATGCTCATTCTGATGTAATGAGAAAAGAAAATCAATACACACACACATATATATATATATATAAATATATATATATATATGTATTCAATTTAAAATTAAAACTATTCATGGCAGAAGAATTGCAGTGAAATTTTGTCCTCCATTTTTCTTTTGATGATAAAGACAGAGACATGCAAAAGAAATGCCTGGTTATAGAAATATAGAATCAATATCCTGCCTCCTTTTCCTATAGGCACTGTTGTAGTGGTTAAGGGAAACCACAATACAAGATAAAATGCTGTAACTGCCATAGGCACTGTTATTCTAAGATAGATTTCTCATTGATCTTGGCTGGGGTTTTCTATTCGACCTTTGCTTTATTTAGATAATTGTTTGGGAGCTGATGATTTTCCACTCTGGATTGTTGATAATTCATTCATTGGATTTGTTTTAATAAAATGATTATTGGAAGCAGGGGAAAATAATAGAATTAATCTGTTAAAAATTAATAGAATTAATCTCTGTTAAATAAGAAAGTCATTTTAATTCGGGGTTTTTCTTATCAGTTTTTTCTTGTAACTTTAAAATTTTTTTTTTTTTTTTTTTTTTTTTTTTTTTAATTCCTCAAATTGTTCTTATCCAAAATAAAATCTTTTTTGTTCTTCCTAAATGGAGAATATTTTTTCTATCATTAAAAATTGTTTGGAATGTTTGATCAAAATTGCTAAAATTTCTGTATTAGAATAAAATGCAAAAAAAGTAATAATTTTAATTGAAGAATATTCATTTAGAGAATGAAATAAAATATTTGTAAACATTAAACTTATTTTAAAGTCATCAACATATTTTTTCAAAATGTTAAACATTTTACAAATTCCTAAATCATAAAATTGTTTGTATTATGTTATTTTAAAAATATTATGGATTTTTTTTTTTTTTTTTTATTTCTGAGCTTTTGAAGTATTTTTATTTGGGAAAGTCTAAATTTAAGAAACTTTGATATTTAGAAAATTGTTTAAAAAGATTTTAGGTATTAACTGGGACTTAAGTTATGATATAATTTGTAACTTTTGCATATTTACATTACTCCAGTCTCAAAATCTTCCCTCTAATCAAATGTCTTAAAAGATGCCATTTTTTAAATATGCAAACCTGAAAAATATAAAATTTAATTTTAATTTCTTAGTAATGACTTGTGAAACCCAGAATTTTAAATTTTGATCCTCAGTGATTTGTTTTCCTGAAAGGATCATAAAATTTTATTGGCAGAATATTGGAGTAATGAAGAAGTTTTAAGGAAAATGGGAAAGAAAATGATACTTTTGTTTAGAATTCAAAAGACAGTTGAAATATCTGTGACTTCTAATGAGGAAAGAGGGCTTTGAGAATTTAATTCTCACAGGATGAAAAAAAAATGGCAATTTTGCTTAGGATCAAAAAGAGTCAGTTGAAATATGTGACATATAATGAAAAAAGAGGGCTTGAAGAATTTGGCACTCACAGGGTTATTGGAGGGAAAAAGGACAGAATAAGTGAGTAACCTACTTAATAAACTCATGTTGACAGCACAAGGTGTAAGAGTAAGAGGAGAAACATTGAGCTGCAAAGGATAGGAAGTTTTGGAGAGCCATGGTCGGCCACGTCCTGAATGGACATGGCACATAAATGAAAGTCAAGATCAATGTAGCATTTGAGCTTCAGTCCAGAGAAATGCATGACTATTATTTGCTATTTACATAACATTTTTTGCTCTATGAAATTAAAAAAAAAAAATAATTTTTATTAAACAGAAAATGATTGCTCATGATAAAGGACAACTTTTAAGTGCAGTCTAAAGTCATTAATAGTTTTCAAGTTAAAGGTGATCCTGTCTAAAACCTGAACCGAGAGAAGGTGTTATGTGTTTAACATTTCAGCTGGATTGTTTGAAATTTCACTACATATGAATGTTATAGAAATATTTATAATTACATGCTGTCATTTATAGAATAGACATTAGAACAAGTTAGTATCTATATTTATTGGCTTATAAGACACTGAAATTAAAAAAAAAAAAAAAATCCTGCAAATATTACACAGTTTGCATCATCTTATATACTAGTATTGTGACTAAAGGGCTGAAACTCAAAATGGCTAGATATGGGGCTTCTATAAGTAAACCATGTGGCAACAAAAAAGTTACTTATGGAAAAATGGAACCTCAGGTGGAGTTATTGGATATAATTATTTGTAATTACCGTATTTGAGGGCATATAAGGCACACTTTTTTTTTACTAAAAATATCTTTTAAAATCCCCGTGTCTTATATGCCATATGTAGGTTTAAAATTTGTGATAATTGCGCTGAAATTAACTACCTGGCAATTCCTATTAGCTTAAAAGTAACTTTCATATACCTGTAGTCATTATTTAAAAGGCTATTATGCAGATTAAGTGTTATCATTGCTGATATTCATCATATAATTTCATCATGTTTAATATTAGTATATTAACATTTAATGTTAACACTAAAATTATATGCAATAAATTCAAATTATATATTTGTAAAATATATTTATTTCATTAATATTTTTCTTGCAATACTGGTTGCATTGGTATAAATACAGTCAGAATTTTTATATCTTAATTATTCCACTAAGATGCTTACAAGATGCAGGTTGTACAGATTATATAAAGGATATAAGAAAGATTTTATAGGCTTGTTCTTTTTTTCCTGTTATTTTTTGTTTAATTGTAATCATGGCTTGTTTAACCAAAATAATACCTCATAAATATAGCCTAGGCTGTACCATTTACTAATAATTTTACTAAATGTTTCAATGAAATATTTATCTTACAGATGTTTCATTTGACTGAACAATTGTAACTAAATAATTGTGAAAAAATCATTAATATTTTTTTGTCTTTTAGGAATATAACCAATCTATTTTATCCATTTCTGAAGTTACAGAATAATGGTCAGGTTACAACTATACCATTTTTACTTGGTGAGTTTTTTCTTTTGTTTATATTCTTCAATATGAATATATCTATGAAATGTTATTGTTTTATATAGAATTGTCTGTGTTCATTTGATTTTTATTTTTCATTTTTTTGTATTTCTGCTCTTTTCTTTTTTCTTGTTGGTGACTTTTTGTGCTAAAATTTAATCTTACAGTTTCTTGGGCAATTTGAATGCCCCCTCCATTGTTTTTCATCTCTGGGAGTAATGCCTCCCTCTGTTCTCGCCTTTCTCTTGGTGTAGTGGCGATGCCTCCCTCTGTTCTCACCTTTCTCTTGGTGTAGTGGCGATGCCTCCCTCTGTCCTCGCCTTTCTCTTGGTGTAGTGGCGATGCCTCCCTCTGTCCTCGCCTTTCTCTTGGTGTAGTGGCGATGCCTCCCTCTGTTCTCGCCTTTCTCTTGGTGTAGTGGCGATGTCTCCACACTCTGTTCTGCACCTCTTGGGGCAGTGGATATTTCCTTGCTGTTCCCACTCACCTTTTGGGTGTGGTAGTGCAATTCTTACCTATCTCTTGGGGTAGAGGTGATGCCTCCCTCTGTAACCACCTTCCTCTTGGGAGTAGGTGGACTCTACCTTTTCCTGTTTATAGTCAATCAATATCTGTTTCTGTCTTAATATTGTTTTTTTTAATATAAAGCTCTTCAGGATTCTCACTTGCCTCTTGGGGCAGAGGCAACACTCCTCTTTTTTCCTACCCACCTCTTGGAGTAGTGGGGATGCTCTCACTGTTGTTTAAAGACTTGTTAGAGTAGTAAAGCAGTTCTCATCCACCTGTTGGGGTGGTAGGGCAGTTTCCACCCTTCTTCTGGTGTGGTGGGGATAACACTTCTGTAACCATCTACCTCTTGGGAATAGGTGGACTGTCTTTTCCTGTATATAGTCATTCAGTATCTGCTTCTGCTGTTTTAATAATTTTTTTTTTCTCTCCTCAGGATTCTTTTGATTGTTCTTACTGCTTTTGCTAAACAATCTACCTTAATTCAGTTTTTCTCTCTTTTTTTTATTCTGTATTCTGTTGTATTTTCATATTTTTCTTTTGTTTTTCTTTCCTTTTCTGTGTCATCATAACTTGTCTTTCTCTCTTTTATACTTTTTGTCTCTCTTGCTCTCTCTTTTTTTCCTGATTCCTGCAGTTTTTAGTTCCCACTTTATCTGTCTTTTTTATTTACCATCACTTGCTGTGTTTTTTTTTTGTTGTTGTTTGACACAGAATTCACTTGTTTTTTTTTTTTAAACTTTCAGAGGCCACCAAGCCATACCTCTCATTGAGTATCCATAGAGGCAAGCTGTCAGTCACAAGTGGTGAGGTGGAATGGTGGCAGGTTGTTGAGGTCCTCCCCTCTGATCTCAAGTTGCCTGACATCAAGTCCAATACCAGCAAACTGATATTTTACACTTTCAACGACAGAGTGGCTCCAGCTGGCTTTTCTGTCATTACAGGATATGGGTATGTTAACCTTTTGACCTTGCACACCTGGCCATTTGCTTTTTTCCTATTGCTTTGCACTTGTTTTGTACTTGTCAGATTGACCAATCAGCATCTTTACTTGGATCAAATCAAAACTGATTATTTCAATGGCAACATTTTCAGAAATTATTGCTTAGGGATTGTGTTCTAAAGTTCAACGTAACAAATTAACTGACTCATTGGATTTGTATTTACCTGGTTGTAAATTATTTTACAAAGTAGAAAAATAACAATTTGGATTTAATGGTTATAAAAAAAGGAGTCAACCATAGTTGGGTTCATCGAGTCTATATGAATGATCCTTTACTTAGTATGTGCTTCGCCAGGGCTACATACAGTTTTGAATTTGAAGTTTTTCCTTCTCCTAGACTGGTTGCTATCCAAAGCTATAGAACCCAGTCTGACCTACTTTTTTCCCCCCTTTGCTGGCAGGAGAAGTGTTGAATTCATTACCTTTCCCAAGGGTATTAGCATGTAAGTAAATATAATCATTTTGACTGGAATTTGAACTCTGCTCTCCAATTCCTCAAGCCACAGTCCATTAAACTACCATGCCTCCTAATGGGTACACAATGAAATATTTAATTGTCTATGTGTAGCTTACAGCTGTATCACACTTAAACACTGGTTCTCATATGATCACCAAAGTTAAGCAATGTTGAGCCTTGTTAGTACCTTGGTGGGTAACCACTTGGGAATACCAGGTGCTGTAAGCTTGGATGTGCAGGTGGTGTAATGGATAACAGCTCAGAATTGAAAATCAGAGAGCCAAGTTCCAATTCCAGTCAAGTTCATTATATTCATTTACATGCAAATACCCTTGGGAAAAGTATGAATCCACCTCCTCTCCCTCCAGCTATGGGTTAATTAGTAGGACTTGTATCAGTAAATCATTATTTGCAAAAAAGTTTTTACAATCTGAAAATATTTTATGGTTTTAAATAGCCTGCAAAAGGTTGATAAGCCATAAGAAAAAACAATGTGCAATACATATTGTGTATAATTGACAGTTAGAAAAGTGGTCAAGATTTAATTATAAAGATGCAATTGTTACCATTATTTCATTGCTTGCAGAGATGGTTTATGCAATTACTTTAAGCTGTTTATAATGAGCATTTTAACAGCTTATAATTAGTTTTACAGAAGAAAAAGAAAATCTATAATATTAGATTTAAGCACAAGTATTTTAAGTCCATTGAATTAAACAAAGCATAAATGTATTTATTACTTAATGAAACAATGCTTGGTCAATGTTGAATAATTTTTTTTGTTTACAGCTATTTTTTTGTGTTTGTTTTTTAATGTTTATTATTTTTAAATGTTGTCTCACTAGTAAATTTGTTGACTTGGCTATGAAACTTTAAAAAGTGAAAAATTATGCTATTTTTTTTTTTTTTTATTGAAGCATGTTGACTTGGTGAAATTATTTTTGGTGAAATAAGTATTTTTAATTTTTTTTGTATGCAGTCATTTCTCCAAAATATTTTACTTACATGAGCACAATCCATATTTAATGAATATTTTGGCATTTTAATTAATAATTAGAATTTCTTTTAAGTTCTTTCTTTTTTCTTTTAATGAATCATTTCATCACTCAAACATAGATATAGTTGCAAATAACAAAAATATATTCTTATAGATAAAACCTGCATATATTTATAAAGCAAATCACTAGGATCTTCTTTTTCTTGCAAATCACCTTATAAATTATTGAAGATTATGATAAAAAAAACTAACAACCTTTAAAATGAATTCAGTCTTAATAATTGAAATTGGCAATGTAGTGGAATTCTTTTGATATGTAGATAGTTTGAAGCTTTTTACTTGTATTGCTATGATTTTAATTTCACATTTACTCACGAACCATTTATGTGCTCTCATCATAGTTTATTTGTTGATAAATTACAGTAGGTCCATTTTTTGATTTTCAAAAATTTGTAAATACCTTACCTTGTTGACTGCAACTGAGATCATAGTCCACAATCCCATGCTGCAGTTAATCCTTAACATCATAATCCTTTTCATAACTGTATAGCATATGCCTAACCAGGTTTTGAATTCAGAGTTGTCGTTTTTTTGGAGGTATGGTGTGTTGCAATTTTTGGATACATTATGTAACTAGTGAGCTAGCCCAAATGACTTGACTCACTTTATAGTCCACCAATAGAAGGTTAACCAATCAGAAGACGTAGAATATTCAATCTTTTGTGTATAAAATTTTGTTTATGTAATAGGAGTGACAGTGACTTACCAGAACGGCGAATTCTTTTGTCGAACCATTCTCTGAGAGTCGGTCGGCGCCTACTGCCATTTTTGCAGCAGACTTATTTGCATATCCTAGGCGGAATGTCCAGTGCCAGCTTGTCAGGCAAAGAGGAACAGAAGGAAGAACTACGCTCTCCTACTTTACTGGGATATCCAGTGCTAACCTGAACTACGCTTTTCTACTGCCTTCGAAATATTCACTGCTAACCTCTGGATCCTATACTTAAAGACGACTGTCATCATGAACAACATGGTGGACTAATGGATAGCAGCTTGGATTGAGGAATCGGGGAGCTGAGTTTGAATTCCAGTTGAATCCATTACATTCACTTACGTGCTAATACTCTTGGGAAAAGTATGAATCCTCGTCTCCCCTACCCCCTAGCTATGGGTAAATAGCAGGACAGACTGGGTTCTATAGCCTTGGATGGCAACTAGTCTGCCACAGAAAGAAATGGCAACCTACTATGGGAAAAAGATCTGCCTCGTCAGTCATGTATCGAAAGACACATGATCACCTAAGTATGTATCACACATGGTACATAACTGTTCTCCTAGAGAGCCAAGTTTACCTTGTTATTTAACCCATATCTGGGAGAGATAGGTTCATACCTTTCTCAATGGTATTGGTGTTAAAGTGAAAGTAACAAAATTGACAGGGATTTGAAGTTGCATTGCCAGTTTCTCATTCTGAGCCACTAACCATTACATTACCTGCACATCCAGTTTGTAATTAAGTTGTTAGTTTTATCTCTTCTCCTGTTTATAAACAGCCAGAATTAAATGCTTCTACAAAGAAAATGCATAATAAATTCAGTTATCATTTAGTGAAATAATATAGCATTCATTTATTTATTTGGCTTAAAACTCAAGTGCACATACATTCTCCTGGGCATGCATGCATATATTGACCTTTGCAAGAGCTTTCTTTTTTTTTAAGGCTAGAAATAACTTGAAAAAGATCTCATTTTGAACTGTTTAATGTGACTTTTTAAAAAGTAAAGCGTTTTCTCCCAAATAAAAAAAAAAAAACCCAAAAAACTCTGAGATGTAGAAGTAGGAAAAAATTAAGAAGCAAGATTGCACCCTCCATGTCTAAATTAAAAACAAATTTTGCGTGGACATAGCTATTAGGTTTCTGGCAGAAGCAAGGAAAATGCAGTTGATTTAAAATTTTCCTGTGGAAAATAATGATAGGATCAAACCAAAGAAAATGTATCAACTGAGAAGACACAACTGAGAAAAGAAAATGCTTTTCTTTTATTTACTAAAAAATATGGGTTGGAAGTTATATTTTATTTTTATGCATTTATGGAGTTAAAATGAAAAATGTCCATTGTTTTTATGATCATTCTTCTTTCACCAAATAATTCCATCTTGAGTTAAAAGTTTTTTTGTGAAATATATCAGTTTTCCTTTTGTGTTTACTTAACAGGTACACAGACCCGCATACACTTTCTGTATATACAATCATAAATACATAATAATATCTACACGTCCTTTCATGTATTTATTCATACATATATAAGATAGATGCATACATATTGACAATATATTTCTATAAATGTAGAGGTCTTCACACTGACTCTCACACACACACACACACACACACACACATATATATATATATATATATATATAAATTATTTATTTAAAAATATGATTCCTTAATGTACACATCTTAATTTGCTTATATGCATGAAAACTGTATATACAAATGGTTAAATAACAATTTATTCTGAGATATAATTCTGTATGTGATCTGCACCTATATAATTATGTTATATGAAGAGGCTGCTGAAAAGTTTCTGGCCCAACTAAAAAGTAATTAAAAAAAATTATTTGGTTAGATTTTGGTAACTAGATTAGACAGAACTTTTCTATACTCTTTTATAGTATATCTTAGTTGTAACAATTCATAAAAGTATCAAATTCATAAATGTCAATTGTTTTATTGAAACTTTTTTTTTATGCTTGCTGTGTTGATTGAATGTTTTCCTTCATTGCTGTGCGTGCGTTATGTATGTGTGTGCATATATATATATATATATATATATATATATATATTTTTGTTTTGACTTTCTTTTGCTCATTTTAGGCAGTATACATTTGTTTTTTTAATTTTTATTGAGCTTATATCTTTTTAATTTTTGATAGATACATATAAATTTTTTTTTTTTTTTTACTTTCTTTGACTTATTCTACTACTTTGTTGCTGAGCATGGCATGGAGTGCTAAGCCAGGTACATACCCCAAATTTGTGTTTTTTTTTTCTTTTTTTCATTTGTTTTTGCAACTGTTCTGTGCTGTCTACTATAACTTACCTACAGATCCTCCCATTCCCACCATCTTTTGATGGGTAAAGAAATCTTAAACTCTGGCCTTTTTTTCCTCCCAGTACAGGTGGGAGTCAGTTCATTGCTCAAGCAGTAGGTCAATGGTTATACAACAGGCATGCATTAATGAAGAGATATTTTATTTCAAACCAAAGCTAAAAATGATTGGGTCCCTTTATGATCAGTCTATCTAACAATTACTATGATAGTGATGTCAAATGTTACCTAATAAGCCTAAGACACCTGTTCGGTAAAGTTTGTTAATATACATGCAAGCACATACAAGTGATTTCAAACCAATGTTGCCATATGAAATTTTTTTCTGTCTAAAAGCTGTAAAATCTATGTGCTTGTATTTACGTTTTAAACTAGTTTGACACTTTTTTTTTTACATTTGCTTTGAAGAACAAAATCCTTTTGATAAAATCTGTTAAATCCTCCCTGTCTTTTTAGAAAAGTCATATCCAATGTTGTTAGATTTCCTTGTGATTATCGCTTTCTGCTCTGAGCATATAAACTGACTGCCTGCATGTGGTTAATTTTCATGTTCATCTCATACTGCTTGCAATCGATGTCTCTACATGATTGTGCATAGAATGTACCTCTTGGTTATTAAGAACCTTGACTATACTATTCAATGTCCAGCTGTTACCAGCTCAGCAGAGAGAACAAAGAACTTTCTGCTTTGATAAAACAAATATTAAATTTCATCTCTCTGGTGGATGTAAGGGAAATGATTTTTTTCAGACTTTTAGTGATGCATCACTTAGTATTTTTTAATACTAAGGCTTGCTCAATACAAGGCTCAAGAGCCACTCGAGGTAAAGAACAATACTGAATAAGGTGAGAACATGAATGGAAGTGAAGGTGGTATGAAATGAAGATTAGGAGAATAAGGGGGGAAAGATAATGATTGGTCCTTGACTTGAAGAGGTCAAGATAGCAGTGTTCAGGGAAGCAATGATGTGGGAGTCTGCTCCACAGTCAGAGTAATACTGCTTGTAATTTTGCATTACTACAAACAAAAACTATTACTGCTTTATATCTATGTCAGGATTTTACAAATAGTTTTAAAGCTATTTTCTTTTCTTTTTTTTCCTCTCAAATGTTCCT